CAGGCTGCCCAGGGAGGTTGTGGAGTCTCCTTCTCTGGAGATATTCAAACCCCGCCTGGACAAGGTCCTGTGCAGCCTGCTCTGGGTGACCCTGCTTCAGCAGGGGGGTTGGACTGGGTGACCCACAGAGGTCCCTTCCAACCCCTACCATTCTGTGATTCTGTGATTCTGTAACAGTGTAGTATAAAGTGTATTTGGGATATCAAATTTTGGACACAGGAAACCCAGTCACACAAGTTCATTCTTTTCCTCAAAACATCCTTCTCTGAGGATGTCTGTGTGTTTAGTTTGAATTTCATCTGGTGCTCGCCGGAGCTGGGTGCTGGGGGTGGGCGAAACTTTGTTTTGCGGCAGGAGAATCTCTTGTGCTGTTCGTCCTCAGTTCAGAGTGATTCGTGTCTGCTTTACACGTGGCTGTGAGCCTTGCCTGAAAGGGTGGGCTTGCTTTTCCTGGGGTGGAAATGACATCTTAAGCCTTGCACAATTTCACTTTGGTTTTCCTCCAAACTTTTCAAAATTATTTAAATAATTCTATATAGAAGTGCGTTCTTGTTAATTATAATATATCATATAAATATAAAATCTATTATAAATAAATACATTTCATACACATTTAAATATATCCAGGGTCAAACATTAAATGAAATTAGTCACTTGCAAAGTCGTACATGCTTAATACAGAACTCGCATTAAACCTACGTGTAACCTGGGCTATGCACGGTGATTTTACGGCTCTGGTTACAACAGGGCTTTTGAGTTTGATGTTGTCGTCTGGTAGCTACTAATTTTATGATACGTTTTTGTTGTGTCTGGTATTTCTGTGCCCAAGGAGATGTGTTGGGCTTACGTGAAATGGCAGCTATCGATCACCGGTTTTTAATAAGCAAGCGGCTGCGCATCTGAAGGATAGAGATGTTGGGTGTCTTGGTGACGTCGTTTGGAGCGTGGGGTGCAGTGACTGGCAGAAGCCCCATAGCCTTGCAGTTGCCAGGTCCCTTTCTCGACAGAAATGCCATCTCCCTGGGCATATGGACCTCTCCAGACCTGGCCTCGCTGTTCTGCGGCGACCGTAGTCCACAACTGGATGGCAGTGGTGGAACGGAAGGTGATCTGTTGGTACGGTGCTCTGCGGTGCAGCTGGTGGAAATAAAGCACTGCCGTTCCTCCTGTCCGAAGTGAAAGATGCTCCCCTGTCCCTATCCAGGCTAATAATTACAGGGGGCCGTGCATTAAGAGAAATCATAGGAGCATCGTACAGATCTAAGCATGACTATTAATAAAGTACACGTTTCTTTCTTAATTTTCTCAAATTCTTTCCCTCCTGCAGGCTCTTGATGGAAATGTATATGATCACCTTAAGGATTATTTAATGGCATTCATTCAGCAGGACTGAACTAGACACAAGCCAAGCTGTACAAAACACATTCCAGTTTTTACTGGAGACTTCCAGCAGGGTAAGTTGTAACTGAACGATCCTTTGTAACTGAACACTTACAGCATATGTAAGTTCCCAGGCCAAAGATTGGCTTCCAAAATAATGACAAAACTGAAGGGTTATTATTTTTGGTTACTCCTGTGTGGTATTAAGTTAAAAGAAACGAGACAGTTTTCTTGGGGAGAATTTTTCCTCTTGCCACCCAGATTGCATTCTCATGAGTGCATTTCCACAGTACAAGATCTTTCTAGAAGAGCAATCAAGAGATGTTCAGTTATACTCACTCTGCACGCCTGGAATGAGAAATTGCAGCCGAGTTCCGCGCTGGGTAACCTGGAACCGCATTAGTCATCCATCACAGTAAAGCCCTGTGAAACTGTTTGGATCATTTCTTAATAATTGACTGTCAGCTTAAAAAGCAAAATATTATGGCGTTTTCTCCTTTGAATTAAGAATGGCAAATACAGAAAACAGATTAGAGTCTTGTCATGGACGTGGTTTGTTTGCTTTGTCAAGCAGCCAGAATCCGGAATACGTGATCACCTCCAGGATAGTTTTGATACTAAAATAATTCATCTGCTGAGCGAAAAAAAAAAAAAAAAAGTTGCAGTACAGCTCAAATGAGCTGCTTTGGTGCAGTCATAATATTGCTTTATACGCATACCTTAACCACTCACACAGAAACAGAGCTCGCTTGTGCAGGGACTTAGGGAGAAACAACATATTTAACACCTTCCTTATTCACTTGCAAGCGTGCTGACTCACACCTTATTAGATGTAGAGTGCAGTAAAAATTGTCTTTGTGCTCGCTTGTCTTTGAATTTACTTGGCAGCAACTGTAAAGGTAATGAAAATACCATTTTATCTGCTGTTGGAAAAGCACTTTCAATAATTTGCCTTGGTGTATATCATTCAGATCGGCTTAAAATATCTTCCCCGAAGGTGCTGGGTTTAAATCTCTTAACGAAGTCTGTGTATATGTAATGTCTACATATCCATAATTAATTTCTCAATATTGTAATACAGAATCCCAGCATGGCAGGGGTTGCAAGGGCCCTCTAGGG